CCCGCCCTGATTTGGCTTCCCTGTTCGTCCAGCACAACTCACACGTGACTGGTTTTGAGGGCCAGTACAGTACAATCCAAAATGCATTTCCACCCGAAATGGTACACTCCCTGCGCAACTGCAGTCAAGGTATGCCGCTTGAACTGAAGGCTCGAGCAGAGCTGGTGTGTAAGAAAACTGCGTTCGACAGACAATAGTTTGCGGGGTGAAAAAACAAAACAACTAGATTGCGGATAAAATGAGAAGTCACTCGATATGAAGAAAATTCGATAACTGCTATACGACCACTTTTCGCCAGTCCAGTGGAAATTAACTGGCTCTCATATGGACATATCTTCATATAATACTCGTCTTGCTGACTTTCTACTCTCACAAAATTAGGGTGAAAACTACAGTTAAGGGCTGACAAATGGGGTTTGGGACTAACTGACACTGTTATCCCTGACATTATTGAAGGACTTTTGCATGATGAAATTACAGATAGAAAATGAGATTATCTACTTTAAAAGACCCAACTATTAAAATAAAGTAAATTTCAGAGGGCTTGTGAACAGCAACTATCGGTGACGATAAACTAAAATTTTAAAAAACAACAACTCACCAAATTGGCTGGCTCTGAAGGTTTTTTAACAGCGAGCGTTATGTCAAAGATCCGCTTCAAAACCTTCAACTGAAAAAAAAATCGAGGGAAAATCTTAATACCTTGTCAAATTCTGCGGACTCCGAGGGAGAGTCGCCAAAGCTACATCCAATGGAAAGCACGGGCAAAAGTTTCCCAGACAGTCGAGCTGACTGAAATTCTTGAAAGAGTACGGTCCATAGTTCTTTGTCCTAGCAAAAATATATTTCATTGAAGAACCAAAGCACCTTGCGCCATAGCCTACGGGAGAGTGTCACAGCCAGCTTCCGATGGCTTGGCTTACGAGACCGGAGGAGAAGGGAGGTGCTCAGAGCCCATGCCGTCAGCTAAAAATTTAAAAATATTTCAGCACTTACTATGGAAAGTATATGTGCGGGTAATTCTGAAGATGAAGGCCTGGCACTTTCGAGGAGCAGTGAGAGAAGTTTAGAAAGAAAAACCAACTCGGAACAAGAACTGAACATAATATATAAAAAAATACAAACCATGAATAGTTTTTAAGTGTGCGTTCCGTAAATTCTGCTACCAAGGCCAACGTTTCCTTGGGGTTAGCCCTGAGTTCAGAATTTGCAACGGTTTTTACTCGCCGGAAAAGGAGAGAGTCCAACTTGCACCCTCTGTGGAGTAAAGCTTCCAAGTCAGCCTCTGTATTTTGCACTGGCTGGGCACTAGCATCCAATGCTTCCAAGGAAGCGTCCATCGTTTACAGAAACCTGAGACTCAGGTTGCGGCAAAGTCTAAGCGTGGACGGTCTCGTATCACACACTGGTTTTTCACCGCCAGTTTTGAAATGAGAACATTCAGATTTGGTCATATTCAACTAAAGGCCAAAGGTCCGCATGTTCATAAATCAGTGTATGTCAGCTGAACTTTAAAAGAGAAGACAACTACTTTAAAAGACCAAAAAAGTATTAGGCGTACGTCATGTACTGGAATGCGTTAATATTGAAACCAGAAGCTTACACATGTGCGTAAACTATGTACTCTGCTCAGTCCACTTTGTTGAAACAAATATGAACATAGAAACCACGTAGACTGCAATAGAGCAAGGAACACCCTAGAATATGAAATTTTTGATGTATGATTTTCAAATTTTTGTTGAAATTTTCATCGCACTGACTCATTTTAGTCGTGGGGGAGGCGAGGTGGGCACAGCAGGAAGGATGGTGGCACCGGTTGAGAGCAACGGGTAGTTCAGCGTCGGGTATTTGGGTATCCGTGGTGAGAAAAGTCGTCTTCGGACTGCTGGGGACAAGGAGAGACTGTTAAAATGTTTGACGCAGTAGTATTGGATGCCATCGTAGGGATGGTGCGTTTCGTCTGGAGGTGGCCGCGTAAGCCGATACGCGCGTGGAAGGTGCATTAACAGTGTGGGCAGGTTGGAAGGGCTTGTGTGTCGGCAGCGCTCTTTCCTTGGAGCTGTGATTTGCGAAGCTTTCTCGAGGTCTTCGCGTTAATTTGAAGGCACTTCAAATAGTTATTTAGAGTGACCTTGTAACGCCTCTTATGTCCTCGCTAATGGTGAGGATCCACAGAGACATCCCCGTAGCACAACCGCTTCTGTAAAAGTTGGCCATCCATCCGCACCATATGGCTACTCCATCGGACTTAAAGTTGCCTCAGCATGGCGTGGAGGCTGAAGATTGCCGTCCTCTCAGTACTTCAGTGTTCGGGATCCGTTCCTACCATCCCAACTTCAGTTTTCGGTCGTGACAGCTGAGATGGAAATGGTTCAGGTTTCGAGCCTGGTTGGCGTAGACGGCCCAGGCCGCCGCTCTGTTCCAAAGCGTCCTGGAGATGACGCTCTTTTATATCTGCAGTTTGGTGGACAGCTGGAGACCAGGACGATTCCACACGGAGGCTGGGCTTCAGCCGAAATCTTAGCTGGCTTTGTAGATCCGGTGAGCATCTTCGGGTAACGGTGTCCATAGCTTCAAGCTTCACGCCCTCGATATTGATCCATGGAGCATTGAAATAAACATCGGGCGGCGGTTGATGCATGGCCAACGATTTCCGTGTTGATTATAAGTTCGAAATTTGCGCAATTGGC